AAATTTTATTTCTTGATTTAACCTGTTTCAGAAATTATTCGCTTTTTAAATACTTCAGTAAAATTTTATTACAATTAATCTTTTTTTTTCTTTCTTTGGCTCCTTTGCATTTCCTTTTTTGCAATTTTGCAATACAATTTTGAAACTATATATATATATATATATATATATATACTATATATAATATTATTATTATTATTATTATTATTTGTTATTTTAAAACAAGATTTACCTTTACCAAAAAAAATGCATTGTTATTAACAAAAAAAGTACAATTATTTTATTAGATTAAAATTGAGGAAGAATGACTCCACAAAAATGAAAATGATGTATTTCATAAGCAAAGAAGTTTATTTTTTACTATTTATTTGCTTTTTTAATTTGCTGAGAAAGTTTCCATTTGTTATTAGATAAAGATTGAGAAAGAATTACTCTTCTGTACATAGATTTTTTTAAATATTTTATTTATTAGTTTATTATTTACTTACTTTAGCTTACATTTTAGAGTTAATGGAGTTCATTTTTAGAGTTAGTGTTAATGGAGCATTTCAGGTCAAGTCTCAAAGGGGTCTTTAGGTTTTCTAGAAACGTATGTGAGAGCTTCATTGCATTTCCATTTAGACTGCAGTTCCAGTGGTTAAAGTGGATCCTCCAGTAAGTACAGTGTTTTTGGAGAAAGCTACAGTATGTCAGGATCATGCTCGTTGTTCCCTCCTCTGTCCCACAAGTCAACTTTAAAGGGGCCATATTCTACACTTTTCATCAGCACATCATTCGGGCAGGGCAAGTTGCTGAATAGATGCTCATATTTAAATCTGGGTGGTCCAATTGGTTCATCCAATTGACATCCATTGTCAATATTGGATGTCTAGTACATACTGTACACATTAAGACTGCACAATCATATGTCCCCTTTAAGTGTGAGGTGATATACAGAGACATTCATTGCAGTTATTTGGTCTACAAACTCCACCACAAGAGTGGATTCCATCAAAATTCCATTCTGCTCAGTAATCAGCCAGTTTAAATACATGTAAACAAGACCCATTTATAACAACCAGTCCAAACTGCTGAATATTAATGACTTAGTAATTCCTTACAGCTATGTTATCATCACAGTATATAGCATTACAACAAATGAAGGTTGTAAACACAAACTGATTGCTGCAGACGAGCTTTTCAGGACTGCTTTAGGCGGTTATAGGTTGAGTCTTCAAAACAAATCCCTCTTGTCAATACTCATAATTTGAGCTTCATTGCCTTTCAGATATCTTAATGTTTCTTGCTATATTCTATTACTATCCTGCTATAACTATGGTATGACCCTGCTGCATCAAAAACATCAGATGCTTGCATAGCAGCTTAAAACGGGCATGCTTGCTTACATATGTGGTGTTTCTTCAACCGTAAGCGTTATCCAAATTAGCGCGGTGTTAAATGAAGACCACATAAAAACATTTTTTTTATTTATGGCTATTTTTCAAATGCTTCTATTTTGTTGCTTTACTCATCACAGCCCCAGACTTTCAACTTTAAAATGTTATAAATAAAAACATAAAATGAAAAACCATGCGAAATAATGAGTGAAATGCTATTTCAGTGATTAGTGTGTGAAAAATGTTTTCAACAATATTGGTTACAAATTATACACAAATTATGTCTGACCATTGTAAAATAAAATAGACACATGATGTGTTCAAATATAAGTAAAAATATGTAAGGTGTAGCAAGAGCATTAAAAGTGTGTTAAAAGAGTTGACAGTTTCTAAGTTTACAGAGCCAAACGTGCCTGAAGTTGAAGAAACACCGTTATATACTTAAAAACCTTCTTGCAAACATAAATAATTGAAATAATATAGACAGATGCAAACTAAAATGCAAGTCAATCACCAGGCCCTTTCATTTTCACACCAATATTAAATCAAGAATTAATGCAATAAGAGTTCTTTGTGTTTCTCATCTCTTTACAGGTGCAAGAGGTCAAAGACATTCCTGGTGAGTTCAGCCACTTAATCGGCATATCATATAGAACAGCATAAACTTTGGCTTTCTGAATTTGCATCGCAAAGGGCTGATGAGAGAGGACACAACACACGTGACATGATTCTCGCTCTCACCAGATGCTGAGCCACTGCCTCATATTCCTGTGGTGGAGGTTGTGTCTGATGAGGAGCCAGACGCTGCTAACGTGCCCTTCTCTCCCAGGTATATGAATGAATGAATGAATGATGCATTTATATAGCGCTTTATTGTGTATTGTTGTACACCCAAAGCACTTTACAATCATGTGGGGGGGTCTCTCCTCAACCACCACCATGTTAATCAGCTGTCAGAAGCTAATCTGAACTCTCATTCTGGCTGAACACCTTTAACCTATCTGTTTCTTTCTCTTTCAGGGTAATAGAATGGATTAAGCATGGTTTTGAGAAAGTAGTTCCCCTGTCTCCTGTCCATCTTCGTCCTCCCGCTGGCACAGATGCACCTGCCCAGAAGGCTGCTTCTGCACCTGTGACTCCCTGCAAACAAGAGCCAGGTACCTTTTTAAAAATCAAGAATGTTAGGCTTTCTTGGTGACAGAGTGGTCTGCATGTGACATTTGTTTTCTATTTAGCACCTGCAGCTCCTGAGCAAACTAAAGTAGCTGAGGATTCCAAAGGCACGAAGTGAGTGTCCATCTGCTTCCTTTAAAATGTCTATGGTTATGCAACCCGATCTCATGAAAGTGCATATAAATAGTACGCCAAATAAAAACAAAAGCTTTGGCGTGTATATGCTATGTAATGGGTAAAGGGTTGTGGGGTAGATGTGTATCATATGTATGCGAAAACTACGTATCATATGCACGCCGACAAATTTTGTATCATATGCACGCAAAAACTGCGTATTATATGCACGCCAAACACGTGTGTAGCATATACACGCCAAAGTCCATTTTTCATTTGGCGTACTATTTACACGCATTTTCATAAGACCGGGCTCGGTTATGTTAACCAACCAAGCTTTGACTTTGTTTTTGTTTTGTATGTTTCTTTTTGTGTTTGTTTGTTTTGGGTTTTGTTTGTTTTGTTTTGCATTTGTATTGTTTTTCTTTTGTATATGTTTTGTGTGTTTGTTTTGTTTTGTTTTTTCTGGTTTTGTTTTCTTTGTTTTTTGTGTTTTGTTTGTTGTTTTGCTTTACGTTTTTCATTTTGTTAGTTTTTTTCTGTTTTTGTTTTTTGTGTGTTTTGTGTTTTTATTTTTTGTTAATTTGTTTTTGGTTTTGTGTGTTTTTTAGTTGTTGTTTTTTTTTGTTTTGCGTTTGTATTGTTGTTGGTTTTTCTTTTGTGTTTGTTTTTTCTTTTGTGTTTGTTGTTGTTTTCATTTTTGTTTGTTTTATTTGTTTGTTTTTGTTTTCAGGGTTTTTTTTGTTTTGTTTTTTGCTTGCTAGTTTTTTTATTTGCTTTTTGTTCTTTTGTTTTGTTTTCGTTTTTTGTTTAATTTTGATTGGTTTTGTTTGTTTTCTTGTATTTTTGTCTTGTTTTGTGAACAACATGTGTCTGAAGCCTTTTATTGTTTGGATAAATGTAAAATGTTTTTACATATAATTAAGTCTAATGACATGCATAATATTTAATTTGTTTTCAAGTATGATTGGCTGGATAGTACAGGGGCTCGGACGCATCATACCACAACCAGTACAGAAACCAAAAGAGGTAAGCTGTAAGCACACTGTCCCCTTTAAAATAAAGTAGTGTGTGTAAAAAATAAAAAAAGTTAGAAAAGACTTCACTGCTAGTATTAACCCATTTCCTCTGTGTTTATTTGCAGGACAGCTCTGATATCGTTCAAAACGGTACGTTTTTTTTAACACATCTTTACACGCATAGATATAATGACTGCAGAAAGCTTTGCAAGACAGGGTGTTTTGTTCCCCACGATTATATATTTGAATATATCAGAGGCATTGCTAGTCTCTCACTGCTTATTTGTAGGTGGAGGTGTTAACTCAGCTCCTCTTCTCCTTCTGTTTCAGGGGAGTAGGTCGTTAAAGCCCCCTAAACATAAGGAGAAGACGACTGGGAGAGTCATTACCTCCACGCAGAGACAGCGAGAGACGTTCAGACATATACACATACTAATATCCTCTAGTTCCATACAGCTACATCGGATTTGAACATTTGCAGCAGTGCTTTTTCATGTAATCTTCCTTGGTGATTTCTGTTAACTGTATTACAGATTAGCATGCTGGCTTGTTAATTGTGATGATTGTTTAGTGCTTTGATGATTAGGCTACCTCACAGACATGCAGTAAACACACAGTGGCCCAGTCAGAGTTTACAATGTCATTTACTGCTTGTATATTGTCGACATTTGCGCCATCAGCATCACTAAACATTAAATATTTCCACCTTTGATTGGTCAGAATGTCCAGCCCCAAACTTGTGTACAGGGTTTCATAAGCCCCACAGAGCCACAGTTTTCACATGTTTAGAGGAAATCAACTTTAATCTATGAATATTAAACCAGGATAGGAGAAAGTTTAACATAAAAAATCTTCCACCTTTAACACTGCTTTTTCCTCTGTATTTTCTTCCTCTTGTTTTCCAGTACAAATATCTAAACATTCTTTAATCAAGACACAAGCAAAATGACATATTCTTGCTTTCTAAAATAAAATAATTCCTGATTAAAATGAGAAAAAAAAAATCTGCCAAAGCGGTAAGAAAAAAAATTTATTCAAAAGGAAATGCATTTTTTTACCCCATGGACATATATTTTTTCTTGTTTTAAGCATAAACTTGCTTCATTTTGATACATCTTTCAGAAAGCAAGACTTGAGAACATAATTTAGAAAATAATTTTTGCAGAGTAAAGGAGCACAGTTATATGCAATATTGTTGCCATAAAATGAAAAAAAATGGGGGGGGGAAATGCCCATAAATCCCCATGCCACTAAATGTATTTGCCAATATTTACATTGCTTTGAAAAACAAAACCTATGAGCTGTTTTACCATGCTAAGGATGTTAGCAAAGTCACTGTTCGTGATTCACCAATTCAAGGCTTCTCTACAGCAAGGTGGAACATTCTCATGTTGTATATTGATGTTATTTATGTTTATGTTTTATTGTGAAGGGCTATTGCTAACAACACAGGCAGCTACCTTACTTTCTCTGCTGTCTGAAATCAATAATAAATAAATGATTTCAAAAAAGCAGATTGTTTGTCGTGTGGTCAGAGCAGAAATGTGTAAAATGCTAAAAATGCTGTCAAATTGTATGTGGAAGAAGCACTACTGCAGCTAAAATAATTTCATTCATTTTTAAAACACATTATGTTTCAGTAAGTTTGAGCACTTTAGGACATATACTGTATGTGTTTCATTAACCAAATTTGGTAACACTTTAGAATAGGGAACATTAAGAAACTCCTAATTTGCTGCTTATTAATAGTTAGTAAGGTAGTTGTTAAGTTTAGGTATTGGGTCGGGTTAAGGGCTCTAGAACATGGTGATGCAGAATAAGGCATTAATGTGCTCTTTATACTGTAAGTACTAATAAACAGACAATATGTGAATAATATGCATGCTAGTAAGCAACTAGTTAATAGTGAGAATTGGACCTTAAAATAAAGTGTTAGCCTAAATTCTTACAGCTTACAAAATGTGCAAATTCCAAATGTGTTGCTTTTTAATACATAATACAAATGTACAATGCATTTTTAGTATTAATAATAAAAAAAAAAAAACATGATGCAGCTCTAACCGCTGACAATTGCCCAAAACCCACTAAAACCATCCAAAACCAAAACAGACCAGCGTAATCTGCATTGCCATGCTTTGAGACCAGCAAACCACTTTGGGCT